CAGGGTGAGAAAATAATTTATCCCAAAACTACTTTCAAAGCAAAGATTAACTACAAAATGTCCATTAGGTAATGTGGAACTCCTACAACACCATAGAATCTCATAAGCCACAAAATCTTCAGCTGTTGCTGGAAAACAACATTACCTGCTCTTTTCATTGGTGAACATATGCTTAAGCTCCTCTGCTCGAGGTTTGAGGGACGATGTCACCCTGGTCTCTATCCACCGCAGTCTCTCATCCAGCTCCATGTTTCACTCTTTATTTATTCCTATTGATTGTAACTTGATTTCATATCTTTCTCTGAAAAGTATATTTTAGCAGAGTGAATTGAACTATTCATTCACCACATGGGAAATTATCAGTTGTGATTCAAATCAAGAGAAACATTTCTTTACACAACTCTCTCGACATTTTGTTAGTGACAATTATGCCAGAAAAGTGCATTTTACTTTGCACACTTCCAACGCTTATGATCAGTACAATACTAAAGGATCTATCCATTCTTGCCGACACTCATTTTACTCAATCATTTAGATAAGGAGCTCTGCACTGACTCGAAAAGATAACCTATAATTAAGGCAATCGCGTTAACAATCATCTCTATTATCAGACGAAAAAAGCTCTGTATGTGATGAACGACTTACGAACTCCAAAAGTTTGCATAAATAAAATTCGCATTTTTGACAATCTCTTCTCGTTCATGTGTTACAAATAAGGAAAACAAAATAAAACAAACCAAATTAAGCTAAAGATCAAACCTGCAAAAATATACAATGAAATCGATCACAATTGGCTGCGAAATGAGCAAGGTCTTTTCAACTTTAACTTAGTTAAATTGGTTGGCGTGCGGATCAGTGCATTTCTATCTTAAAACAGCAACATCGCGCATAACTAAGTTGTCAGTCAAAGATTAGTTGATAGGTAAGAAATTTGGAATTCGCGCCTACTTTCATGATCAAAGCCTGCAAAAGTCAGTTCTGACTTCATCTGAAATCATACCTCTCCACTTGTATACAAAATAGAAGTAACTTACCTGCACCAATCTATGCATTTCTTCGCCCAAAATTTTAAGAAATGATCACGTCTGACAAAACCTTGCAAGATTTTGTTGTGCTGTCTAATATGAAAAGTCTGCCATCTTTGTTTGAGTTCGTTGCCAGAGTTATAGTCACGTGACCTAATATCGATTTGGTATTGATTGCCGGATCAGAGAAAAATGGCGGACGGAGTGGTCGAAAACGATTCAATATGTACAGCTGGGATTATCATCATCGGAGACGAGATCTTAAGAGGTCACACCAAAGATACAAATTCTCGCTATCTCTTGAAGAAATTATGGTCCTTAGGAGTAAAAGTGGGTAAAGTTTCTGTGATTTCAGACGAAGTGGACGAAATTGCTCACGAAGTAAGACAATTCTCCTCCAGATATACTGTCGTTATAACTACAGGCGGAATTGGTCCGACTCACGACGATGTTACATTGAACGGCATCGCTAAAGCCTTTGGAGAAGATCTAGTTCTCAATGACAAATTAGTGGAGTTAATTTCCAATTGTTATCAGGAGGAAATTAATTCGTCCCATTTGAAAATGGCTCGTGTTCCTTCGTCAGGCAAACTTGCCTTTGGAAAAGATCCCTCAGGAAAACCAAGCTGTTTTCCTCTTATATCTGTGCACAACGTGTATGTTTTTCCTGGGGTGCCGCAGTACTTGGAAAAGTCGTTTGGCCTTTTGGAAGATATTCTTATTATTTCCAACTGTAAAAGGCGATTTCTCTTGCAAAAGATTTACCTCTCCGTAGATGAGACAGCCATTGCTTCCATTTTGGATGAGGTGGATGAGAAATTTAAAGGGAAAGTACATTTTGGATCATACCCTGATATCTGTAACCAACATTTTAAAGTCAAACTGACTGTGGAGTCGGACAGTTCAGGGGACCTCCAAGAGGCCTGGGACTATCTCTTGGGAAGGTTACCCAAGGAGTTTGTGGTGAAGACCGAGGTGGACAGACATGACTGTGATGCTTCAGTTTCAGAATGTAAGTTTTATTTCATAACAGTATATGTAGATTACTAAGTGTGATGGTATCATGGTTGTCAAGTTCTTTTTGTGGGATTTCTGGGTGAAGAGTGCCAAGATGAAGATTCACCAACTTGCCTCTCACTTGAGATTTTCTTCATCTTGTTCACTCATGGAGCTTTGAACCATTCCATTCTTCTCATTAGTACTATAATTATAGTGAGTATTGTGATTCTGTTCTGTTCCTAGAGGTTGATCACAAGGATGAGGTGTCCTTGTAAAGGACTGCTTTCTGAGTTTGTGAAGAAGGGTTTGACAACCTATGTAGAAGTCATTATCTGAGTCATCTGAGTCATATACCCCACCTAGCCTCCCCCTCCCCCCCATAACCAGAGTGCAATCACTCAACTATTAACTTTTCTTTGATTATGCTCAGGTTGTTTGACAGTTCAGTGGAGAGATCTCATATTAATTCTCCTTTCTATGTGTGACACATTTCTTATGATGTTAACTGTAACTATTTAACAATTGGTTCATACATCAGTGTGCATTTATTGAGATATGAAGCACACGGGAAGTTTGGAGAGCACGAAAGATGCACAAGAAATACTCGAGGCGCAGCCGAGAGCAACTCTAGCTTCTTGAGTGCACTCCAAACTTCCCAAGTGCTTCATATCTTGATGAATGCACAGCTGACATATGAACCAATTGTTTTATAACATTTTCAACACTGTAGTTTATGTATAAAGGGCAGAAATTCCCTCCCCTACGCATTGTTTCTTTATTTTGTTTCAGAAAAGTATTTCACTATGCTTCAATGACCTTGACTCAGATTGGTCAAAAACTGACAGGTGAATTCATGCCTGGAAATGAAGTTAGAGTTGCAAAGCGAGATGAAACCAGCCTTGATTGTTTTGTTTTCCCTTTCTCTGGGTTCTTTCTCGGGAGTTAAAAAATCCACTCCCAAAGGAAAAGTAGGCAAATCTTCATCAGCTTGTTTGCTTGTTGCCATGTATAGTTTAACTTTTTTGCAGAAGTTTTTCCCGTTTTTTTTTAATGAAAAATGCTGAAGTCACTCGCGAGAAAAAAATTTTTTCACAAGGCATTTGTTTGCCGACATCACCAGCATGCACAATGGAAAACTGAAGCACGCTCTCGCTTTTGAATTCGATTGCATGAATTTACAAGCTATGTTATAAAAGGTGTTAATTCATGACAGTGAAAAAATCTTAGCATCAGTCAACATATCAGTAACCAACAACAGTGGATGAACTTTACCAGGACATTCACAGGAGCTGCTGATACCATTGATGGCTCTTAACCCTTTCTTTCTCAAGATTTAAACATTGATCCTCCTTCTCTGTCTTGAAATCATCTCCTTTAGCTGGAGTTCTATTAATGTGTTGTTAAATCAAATATCCTCTTGTTGATGTTTTACTTTCTTATCATCACTTTACCGATTATGTGTCAATAATGTTAGGAAAGATTTATAGTTGGTCAGCAGGGCTCTACACTTACTTTTCAACTTACAAGCCAGATGGCCCGTGACAACTTAGAAGTTACATCAATTTCAGTTTATTTACTAGCCAAACTGGCAAGTGAAAATCGAAAACCACCAGCCAAAAGTGAATTTCCACTATACTGTTGCTAGTTGGCTATGGTTAGTGTTGAGCCCCAAATCAGTCCCAGTAGTGAATGGGGTTAAACTTCTCTTTACTAAGAATAGACATTCTTTTTACATTTCATTCCTTTAATTTAGGTCCACCCAGTCCTACTTCTCCGAACGAAGACAGTGAGCAAGTTGTGAATGTGGAGAAAGTGTACCACCTCCTTAATCCCAAAGATGAGTCAAACACAAGTGCTTGCCTGAAAGGTGCCTGGGCTATCATAGAACAGACACTACAGCTGTATTCTCTTGATGAGCTGTGTATCAGTTTCAATGGTGGCAAGGACTGTACTGTGCTGCTCCACATCTTACATGCTGTGCTAAATAAATTATCTCTACCTGTTAAACAGCTAAAGGCCTTATACTTTCGCAATGAGTCACCATTTCCACAAGCAGAAGAGTTCATCTCAGAAACTACCAAAAGGTACAACTTGAATCTCATAAAATTGACAGAAAATATTAAAATGAATCTAAGGACGTTGAAAGAAACTCACCCAAAAATCAAGGCAATATTTTTGGGCACCAGAAGGCATGATCCATTTTCTGACACACTGCACGCATTTTCTCCAACTGACCCCGACTGGCCACACTACATGAGGGTTAATCCAATTCTTGATTGGCATCATGCGGATGTCTGGGCAGTGATCCAGGAATGTAACATTCCATACTGTAGTCTATATGACGAAGGGTACACATCACTGGGCAGCACCCACGACACTAAACCTAACCCTGCCTTGAAATGTAAAGATGGCAGTGACAAGTATAAACCAGCCCACATGCTAGAGGATGGGAATCTAGAGAGGGCAGGGAGAAACTGATTGACTTTTTGTTAAATAAATAGCATTGTTGGATTAACTTGTGCAGAAGATTTCTCACTTTTGGAATGATCAGCAGCGCTGAGCTATATAATGAAACTTATAACAGTTATTTCAACAAAATACATGTACACAGTGGTATTGTTTTGTTTGGGATGGTTCAGCTTAACATACAATGTGTGGTACCCTAGTCCTAACATTAAACCATGCAAGTTCGTGTATTCAGAGCAGATACTTCATGAAGGTAATTATGGTCTGCTGAGCAGTTTGTATTTTTTTTCATGTGTAAAAGTTTTTAATAATACTTTTCTTTTTATGGTATTGGTTGCTTTGAAAATGGAATAAATAATGAACTGTGGAAGTGCATTTATTGTTTTCATATATTTCACAGTACACTTATTTCTAAATTTAAGCAGTAATGGCCCAAAAAATGTGTAGCAACTAAGATATCACACTAGCAGGCCTTCCAATTGCATGGCTCAATGTCCTTTACAACATCCTGCCCTGGTATATTCATTGGTTTGAATTCAACCTTTATCTCTTAATTACTCATACTTTTTAACATTTCATCTAATCATCAGATAGCATGCTCTTAAAAACCTTGCATAGAACAAAGTTGGAGCTCACTCTGTACCTCCTGTATAAACTGTATAACTGCTATTAACAATTTATGCCCATAAAAAAAAAAATATAGTTTCCAGTGGCTTAGGTATTTGCTGAGATACTAAGAGTATCCGAATGAAAGATACCCTGGCAGGAGTCCCACAAAGGACCAAGCTTGGTCCCTGGTTGTTCACTCCAATGATTGATGACAAAAAACAACAGCGAAACTGAAATATGGAAGTATGAGAACAATGCAACCATTACTGAGCTTTTCGTCAAGAACTAAACAAGCACAATTAAGGACTCTATCAACAAACTGGTTTCCAAGTCTCCTAATAACAAGTTTCGACTTCACAAAGGACTAAGAAGATGTAAAGAGATGGGTATCTCCTTTATTGAGAACAAGGCTGAGTTTGCTCGGGTAAACTCAAAGAAAAGTGCAAGTTTAATTTTAAAAGCAATAGACCACACTTTCTAGTGGTTTACTGAGGAAATAACCGGCTTGGAATTTTGAGAGAACATTAGAAAAGGTTATAAATCACTTGGTGTGTCTCCTGCTCACAATTGACAAACTTTCCTTGTGTCCTCTCAGAATCCCAACTTGTAATTTACAAACTTTTCTCAAGCTCTCTCAACATCATACATAGGTTATTATGGCAGTAATAAAGTGGAAGTTTGGACTTCTATTTCCAAGAAATCATTTTTGGGGGGGGGGAAAAATTGTGATTTACATTCATGACAGCTTCCATTTAGCCTAGGTATTGTAATCTGTTGCTACTGACAAAACTATAGTTGAAAACTATTATAAAAGGTGATATTTAAGCTTAGGTTAAATTCTGATTTGATACACAATCTAAAGCTAAGTTCAATGCTTTTTAAAACCTTGTAGTTATTTGAAATGTATACATACATTCACGACTTTCAGTATCAATTTTTCTTAAAGTTATGTAACTATCGAATGATTTACTGAATAATAATAACCTCTCTGCCAAGTGGCTGATAAAAAAGTTGATTACCTTATCTTCAACTTGCACAGTTCAGTTATTTGCTGATTTCCTTTGCTTTGTCAGAAAACAAAAATGAAAGTGATTTCAGAAATTCACCAGGGGAAAGCCTACTTTCCATCCAAGTCAGGAAAACAGCTTCTCCAGCCTGGCACATTTGAAAATAAGGACACACTTGACCTTTAATACCTGGCCATGTGTCGCCCTCTTTGGTCCGTTGATTTTACATCGTTAGTGTCCCATTTTCACAGTCCATTGAGTTTTACAGACAGCTGGTATTGCATATTTCTAACTTTAGGAGTTGCACAGAATGTGTACATTCCTTTTCCACAGTCTTTAGGTGAATCATTGAATACTACATCACCTGCCTGTGTATAGATTTCTACTTAACATGTATCACCACGTTCCTACCGTTTCTTCCCATTAATCCCCTTTACAATGACAGTGAATTCAATAGGCTAGCCACACAGTGTATTATACATTTACACCCTTTGCCCCATGTCCCATAGTTACAGTTGATGTACCAGCATATGTACAGATATCAATGACACACCCAAAGTTATTAATCGCCAGCTGCAGTTTTTCATCTGTATCAAACTTAAAGACATTATGTGCACTTGGTTCCAGTTGCCACCTTACTGAATTTCGGTTTTGCAATCTGCCTAACATCTGACTGTGCATGTTTAAAGTCTCTACTTCACTGCCATTTTCCAAAACCTTCTCAGTAGTTCTACACCGCTAAGTATACTATGCAAGGCTGCAACCAGTTCCTCTTGTTGGACTTTTAGAGACTTTCGTTTGGCATTTTTCAGTTCTCACACACCCTTAATCAGTTTTATTGTCTTCAATGAGATTCTTTCTTAAAGTGACATTGCTTTCCATATATTCCGCCATATTTGTCTCTTGACTAGTGGGTCAGTCAATTCAAGCAAAACAAATGGCGCTAAACGGTTGACATCTGTCAATCAGTAGAATTTAAAACGGCTTTCAAATATAGTTTGAAAACGCCGTTTATTTTTAAAGGTACCTTTTTCGCACTTATGCGAACACCGCTTCCAACCGCAAAAAAGGTACCTTTTTTTGCTCTTTTGATAGGAACGTTTCTAAACAGCAAAAAAGGTACCTTTTTCGCGCTTTTGAAGAGATCGCTTCAAATTGAAAAAAGGTACCTTTTTCGTGCTTTAAAGTTTTGTTTAATAAAGTGAGAAATGGATGAAAAGCGGACAATATTGGCGATAAAATATTTCCCCTCGAAAGCTTAAAATACCCGCCTTTTTTCCTCTAAAAAGGTACCTTTTTTTAACTTTTCACCTAATCGACTAGCATTAGCAAAAAAGGTAACAATTTTGCATGTTGTTCTATGAAAAATAAATGCAGAAAGTTAATTTTTTTGCTCTTTTCAATTAGGAGAGTTGATCTTTTTGTAAAAAAGCAGATTTGCCGGAACCTTTCACTGATTTAAGTTGTTTCAACTGTGTTGTTTATTCAACAACGTACAGACTGGTTCTCTTCAAAGTCCAAGGCGGAAAGCGTGGTCTCGGTTACCATGTGACGTAAAGACTACCGGAAGTGAATTTTAAATAATCACAGAGCGTTCTCGTTGGTATACCCCCAGGGGATGAAACAGACGCGGAGGCTCGTCGGAAATTTTAAATTTAACCCCTAAAGGAGACCATCTGGGCGTGGCTGAAGCAAATTTTGATCTCTAAATGAGACCGCTCATATTCATGCATCGTCTCTTTGGCACTTGGTCATAGAAAACTTGTTAAACACGAAGGCGCGTTATATAAGGAAGTCTTCCCTGGGAAGACCTAGGCTCATTTGTCACCCACCGCCGACGTGCGCGGGCCAAATTTAAAATGGCGGGCGATTTGAACACCCGAAAGGTAAGGTATACGAGAATTGATTGCTGTGCCTTTCCTGTCTTTACTTGCCCTAGAATTGAAATATCTTTATCTAACACCAAGTAGTACTTCACAGATTAGAATTTTTTTAGAGGAAAGTTTAATCGAGGAGCTGAACGGTTGGCTTACCGTAAACAACGGGGAGATCGTTCGGGTAGAGAAACCACGAAAGAAAATATCCACGCCAGGTAAGTTGGCTCTTCAACGAATCATATTTACAACAAGATTACAAACTGATATTATTCCACTATTCGCAATGTCTATGCCAATAATTCTATTTGTAATGTCAAGTCCGATCCGAGGGGGTATTGTATAATACTGTCAGACCGTTAAGCATAAATATTCAATGTCCCGTTTTTAATGATCGGGAACTCGCAAAACGGATAAATATTTCAAGGCCATACTTTGGGTCATACTTTTTAATCTAAATTGTATGCCTTTTTCTGCTAGCTACAAAATCTTATCTTCGGCTTTTTAGTTTGCCGAAAGATATTTTTACCCGCCATTTGCAACGTTCTCGAACGATGTCCTTTACAGCGCTAATTTTGCTTTCTTTGACAGTTTCCGAAGACAATGAAGCCACGGAAATGGCAGCGGCAACATGTGTCGAGCTGCAGCACGAGCTCCTTAGTCAAGAGATCGACAATAGATATTTTTATACAATTCTAAACCGCCACGGTTTATAGCGCGATCTTATTTACATAGCCAGGAAGGAAGCATTAGGATATTACGTGGAAGATGTTTGAAAGGTCCTGCCAGTCTGAGTTGTGGAAGATCTTCGGAAACGGTGGCCAAATCCTGATGGAGTGCCC